AAGGACTTGAAGCTACACAAGGATAGCTGGGAACTGCTGCACTGCAAGGACTTGAAGCTACACAAGGATGGCTGGGAACTGCTGCACTGCAAGGACTTGAAGCTACACAAGGATGGCTGGGAACTGCTGCAAGGACTTGAAGCTACACAAGGATGGCTGGGAACTGCTGCAAGACTCACACACGCACTCTTTACTTCCTTACAATCCAGACACTTGCACACTACAAAAATACACAATTAAAATTCCACACTAGTCAGAGGACAGATCCATCATGTGTGTATATATCGGTACTTGGAAATAGATACTATCTCCAAGCACCGAGAAAGGCATTATAGTAATAGAACAGTTGTTAAAAAAAAAAAAATTGTTAAAATCCCAGCAAGCTATTCAAATTAAAATACTTTATCCCTGTCCTAAATAAATTGGTTAGTTATATTAATATAATATTAATCTCAAATCATAAACCAAAAAAAAACCTCATGTAAAATAGTGCACAAAATAAGGAAGTTCAGCTACGTATGAGACATAAAGAGGCAACAATAGTAAAGTTGACTACACTCTTCTGAACTAACGAGGCAGAAATATGGGCACTGCAAATACAATAATAGATCAGCTGAGTAGATTACTTATAATATTAAAAATTATAGTTTATTTCATGGCATACAAAACAACTGCTAAAATGATCGATAAAAGGACCCAAAAAAAAATTTACACTTGTAATCTCACGAGTTTATAAAAGTTCACAAAGTGTTAAAGCATTTTCATTGACACACTACTTAAAAGGACTGAGATGGCACGCTTTCCTCAGTTCATAACTGGTACCATAGATATAAACAACATACTCAATTATAAAGGAGTAAAGCTTTCAAAACAGTAATATGCTTGGTACGTTGGAATGAGCATCATATTAGCAAAAATAATTGTTGTTGTAACTGATGTGAGCAGCATGATTTTTTCCAATGCACTTACTTGTCTGATTGAGACTCTCAGCGACAATGATACTAAAAAAAATAAATTATCATTTGCCTGTTTTCAGATATAGGCTGCTGTTTTCAGATATATATAGTAGGCTGTTCATCAAAAATTGGTATAAAAGCTCCTCTTGACGTTTTGAACTCTGAGGTCCCGACCCTGACTGAGCTAATTCCCCTGATTCACAGGCTCCCGCGGTCTGCCGGGTTCTAAGTAGTAGTGGGAAACTGATATATGTGGAATCAGGCGCTCATCAATTTTTGGGCATGTGGAGTTATTGGTATCATCTGACAGCCTGATCATTTGCCTTCCTTTTGGTGAAAAAAATACACATCTATCTTGAATACAAGTAGAGACATGTGCAATTGAAGGAAGTCAGAGTCGCCTGATTTCAAAGGAAAAATTAGTGAGAAAATGGCTGCCAAAGTTTGATAACTTCCATAGCCTGAGAGTCCTTGGAAACGGAAAATTTACATTTTTGGTGCCTTTAATCAATTTTTTCCCCAGTAAAATCAACACAAAAATGTGTTTTTAAATTAACATAAAAGGTGTTGAGCTAAAAAATAAAAATTTCAATAAAAATTTCCAAACTGGAGGAAAAATGCCTGTTTCTTTGATTTCCTTATTTTGACAAACACCTAATTCCACCACGTGTGACACGTATAACGGGCATTTGAGGCACTGGGACCTACGGCCCAGACAGGAATTATCCCACTTTTGGGTTCAAAAGGTTAATATAATAAAGTAGGCAGAATCCTTCACAAGATCTATTCTTAGATTCATCACCTGTGCTGTGCTTAAATCACAGGTCAAACTTCTTATACTAATTACTAGTACACCACTAATCCTTCTGACAGTATCCAACACTAATATATATATTATATATATACGGATTACAAAAATACAAGAACAGGGAGCAAATGCAATATCTAGGAATGGGACCAAATGCCATCTTTTCAGTTTGTTTTGTTGGGTTGTTGTTTTTTTTAAAGGAAGAAGACAGCTCACAAGTGTTACCAAACTGAACTGAAGACCCCGACAGATTTCCTAAAGTCACATAATTAAATTGTGACAGTCCAAAACAGGGATCGTAACAAGAATAAATTCGAAGAGAATGCAATTCCTGACAGAAAAGATATTCCTTTTTCAGAACCAAATCAGCGGAGAATAAGTACAACGGCAACAGAAACAGAGGGCAGGGAACGTCACATACAACAGAATGATTCATTCAGAGGACGAGGAACAAAACAAACAGAAACAGAGGGCAGGGAATGTCACATACAACAGAATGATTCATTCAGAGGACGAGGAACAAAACAAACAGAAACAGAGGGCAGGGAATGTCACATACAACAGAATGATTCATTCAGAGGATGAGGAACAAAACAAACAGAAACAGAGGGCAGGGAATGTCACATACAACAGAATGATTCATTCAGAGGACAGGGAACAAAACAAACAGAAACATCTCATAAATCTTTATCCATATATTATTGCCGAAGAATAGATGTGTTACAAGAGAGTAAAAAGTTGTTCCCGCATCCGATCCGGACATTGGGGGATTGCCTTGTTAGTGAAACAACTGCCTGGACCTTCGGCATATTGTGGTAGGGTGGCCATACACAACATACACAAAAAAGAAGGAGGGGAGATAAGGACGATAGATGTTTGATAAGAAAAAAGGAGCAAGCCACACCAGAGCACCCGCCAACCGCCCAATCCCAGACTCTGCCCACATGGTGGTTCAAGAGTCAAGATGGTGGGCATTGGCTAAGTGACCCTCTCCAAACCCTTCACACAAATTTTTGTACGTTCACTAAACTCAAGTAAGGAACTAAACTCAAGCTATTCAAACCAGGCCTGCAACAGTAATTATGTGAGAAATATTCAGTAAAGATCTCCATCTATCTCTATAGTAACAGACATAACTCCACTTGACTAACGGGCCTCAATTTCATCATTATTTGTAAATCAGGTTTTAAAAATTCACAATTTATCTTGATCATTGGCCAAGACTACCAAGAGCAATATTAGAAATTCAAAGCTGAGAATACATATTTTGCGACACGAAAACAAACTTCCGTACTCTGACCTTAAAAAATGTATCAAACACCTTTTTCACGTATAGGTTGGCAGCTATGTTCATTCATTATGAGAGCAAATAGAAACAAAGTATTTCAAAAGTAACACGGTAAACCAAAAGTCAGATATAGTTGATATAGGGAGAACGTAACCCACATCCAGAGAAAAACAAAAACACAAAGTTAACAGATCACAGATGAGTAACAAAACAATGTATACAGTTTGGTGTTAACAAACATCACAATTTCAAAAATATCAGAAGCAAATGGTGAGACATTGTACGGAATTCTAACAACCTCTACTGATACAAAAGAAATGAGTGCAATCCTCTCTAACACTTCTGTAAAATATATTGTTACAGCTCTCATGTGCAGTACACATAAGCGCATGCCGATCTGCAACCTGCAAACGTGCTCTCGCGGAGGAAAAAGTGTAAAAAATAAACATGCAATTATTGGAACAAAGCACAGCGTACATGGGTAAGTTTTTTTAAGACAACAAGCAATAAAACCGCCAGTAAAAAAGTCCAGCGACGCTGAGATTTCAACCAGCAAATTTTTCAAACATTACAGAGGAATTTTTTGTTTAGTTTTGACGACCTGCACGCAAGACACGGTGGCGTCCCAGTTGATTCAAACAAATTTTCCAAGTGGTTTCGATGGAAAAAAAAGAGGGAAATCATAGAACAGAAGCCACAGACAAATATCAGCCTTCAAGAAAACTGATAAAAGAAAACTGAAACTGCAGAAAAGTTAAAAACTGAAGCCAATGCAGAAGAAAATGACAAGAAAAGAGGAGGCAAACTACCGACTCCAAATGCTGGTATAACTTTGTTAAGAGTTTTTTTTTATTTTGCAGAGTGATGTAGCAGTAGTAACAAAGGGAAAGGAAACAAGTCGCGAGAACAGGGACGAAACGAAACACTCCAGATAATAGGCATTGCACTGTGTACTTCAGCAGGACTGAAACAGCTCAGACAATCAAGTCTTCCACGACCAGGTTGGATACAGAGTCAAGATCAGCAAAGGATGAGAGAAGCTTTGGTTAAAATTCACAAAAGGAGGTCAACAGCACCGGTGATCTTTTCATCACAGATCTGATTTAAGACCAATCTTGGCTTTAAAATCAGGACACATAACCCATAGAAGACGGATCATTAGCCAAAGTTCATGATGGGTGTAGTAAACTCAAAACTACAAGCTTGCATTTTCATAATTTTGCTTTCACCAAGTTACGCAGTGTTAGTGAAAAGGAAGTAAGCAGTGACGACAAGAAAATATTCACGATATGAGGCGGGCGCTAGGCTATACAACTACTGACTGACACCTGGGTACACACAGACGATGAGGCGGCCAACCGAACCCGTGACGACAAGCTGGGAGCGAGTCCAGTCAGCAAGCAGCCAGGGAGGAAGAACTGAGAGTTGCCGTGATCAAATTTACCCGAGGCTTACATCACCGGCGAAGGACATTCCCAACCCACGAGCGATCATGACAGCTGGTCCGCTCGAGCGAGCGGTGGCTCCCGCCGCCAGACCTGGGCCGACTGGAAGAGTAGCCAGGCAGACGCTGCTCTGTGTGTGAGAGGGGGTAAACAATTCAGGCGTCAACCAGAGAGGGCAGACAAATTTTCATTACTGTAAGTCGTAAGACAAGAAGTACCAAAATCCACTCAATATAATTCACATTTATACCAATAGAAACCATATCACGTCTCTTTTACCTATTCAATTTATATCATTTCTATTCTCTTTCGTAAGATGAAAAGTACCACTATCCACTGAATATAATTCACATTTATACTAACAGAAATCATTTCACTTCTCTTTCATCTATTCAATATACCATTTCACTTCTCTTTGATCTCTCCATGATAACTCTGGAGAGAAAATTACAAAAAACATTAGCCTCTCAGACTTTCCATTCACAAAAGCAAAGGCTTCTCTTTTTCACTCGTTCACAATATGTATCTATTCACACAGCACTCAAGTTTACATCAAAAGCTCTTCTACAAAAAAAATCAAAAGCAAGAACACGTACTTCAACAAGGCATCAAAATTCAACAAACGATGCAAGTCCCTGACATTCAGCAATTCATGCTGTTAATCCATGTTATTCCACATAAAGTAAAAAGATATCTACATTTTTTTTTTGACAAGAACTTGGAAAACTCCAAATTCAATTAACAAGCATGTGTGTGTGCGTGTGTGTGTCAAACTAGCGCTGCTTGTTGGGATCGGCAGGTCTGTACACTGGAGCTGTAGATTTTGGCAAAGGCTTCCTTCCCCTTATGATATCCGCTGCTTTCTCTGCCACCATTATGGTGGGTCCGTTCAAGTTCCCGCTGACCACTTGAGGCATGATGGACGCGTCGACGACACGCAGCCCCTCCAGGCCTATCACCCGGGCGCTGGGGTCCACAACGGCCATGGGGTCGTCTGGTGAACCCATTTTGTTGGTGCACGATGGGTGGTAGGCACTGTCGGCCATTCTGCGAGCAAAGGCGTCAATTTGTTCATCTGTCTGGATGTCTGCTCCTGGAGCGAGTTCGGGACCTCGATACTTGTCAAACGCTTTCTGTGCAAAGATTTCTCTAGTGAGAGTGATTCCCGCACGGAATTCTTCAATATCCTCCTGGGTGCTCAGATAGTTGAACACAATCTTCGGATGTTCTCTCGGGTCTTTGGATTTGATGGTGACCGACCCACGCGACGTTGGCCTCATCGGGCCAATGTGCACTTGGTAAGCGTGACAGGAACCCATCTTTCTCCCGTGATCGTTGACCGTGGAGGGCAGGAAGTGATACTGGAGGTTCGGTTGATCCAAACCAGCCCTGCTGCGGATGAAACCTCCAGACTCCAGATGAGCCGTGGCTCCCCAGCCCGTCTGTCGTACGAACCACTCGAGACCAATCCGAACCATGTTGTGGGGGAACTTCCACTGAGCCGAGTACAGCGTGATGGGCTCCTTGCACGTCTGCTGGATGTATATCTCCAGGTGGTCCTGCAGGTTCTGGCCTACGCCGGGGAGATGATGCACTACGGGGATGTCCAGAGACTTGAGCAGGTCCCCGTCGCCGACACCCGACAGAGACAAGAGCTGTGGGGAGTTGTACGCCCCGCCACACAGGATCACTTCCTTCTCCGCCTCCACGGTCTCCACCTGACCGCCACGCTCCACCTCCACGGCCGTGGCCTTCAGGCCCGAGAAGAGAATCCTGTTCGTCATCGTTTTCGTGACTGTGTCCAGATTGGGTCGGTGCAAGGCCGGCAGGAGATAGCCGGAGGCAGCGCTCCATCTCATCCCGGCGAAGATGGTCATGTCCATCCAGCCCACCCCTTCCTGCTGGTAGCCATTCATGTCGTCGGTAAACGGGTAACCGGCTTGCTGTCCCGCTTCTATAAATGCGTGGTGAAGAGGGTGATCCGTCTTGCCCCTCGACACCTTCAGAGGACCGTCGCCGCCGCGGTACTCATCCTCCCCTAGCTCGTGGGTCTGAGACTTCTTGAAGTAGGGGAGACAATCCGCGTATGACCATCCGGCAGCACCAAGTTTCTCCCACCCGTCGTAATCACCGGCATGTCCTCGGATGTACACCATGGCGTTGAGCGAGGAGCTTCCCCCCCACACCCTCCCTCTGGGCTGGTACATGACCCGATTGTTCATCCACTTCTCGGGCTCCGTGTGGTAGTACCAGTTGTACTGGTCGTCGCACAGGTTGTACATGAGCGCGGCCGGCATGTGGATCTTCCAGGTCTTGTCTTTGGGCCCCGCCTCAATCAGCAGCACCTTGTTCTGTCCGTCCTCCGTCAACCTGTTGGCTAACACACAGCCCGCCGAGCCTGCACCCACAATTACGTAATCATACCTGCTCTTCATCGTCTCCTGCGCGGGGACCCGCGACGTCGTGCTGAACGATCGGCGCGACGTCGCAGAGGGACCGCTGGCCGAGCTGGTGGAGAACAGTCGTCTTCCTGAAGGGGGGACGCTCGAAGTCGCAGAGGATCCGGTTCTGTTGTCGACACCACCATCACCGTCTTCTCCACCCTTCATGTGGAGCAGAATTTCGCTGACGCTCGGTACAATGTGGTCAGCCTGCACCAGCTCAGAGCGACTACCAACACCGGTCAAAACACCGATTGTAAGGCCAACCTGAAATGTAAGAAAAGAGTTGTTCAAATAGTGACACAGTTTTCTATTTTGCTTTTTTTTTGGTAAGTGTTTTACGGCGCTCACAACTGCATTAGGTCATATGAGCGCACGGGACACATATAACATTTTCAGTAGGTAGAAAATTTTGAATTTTGCTTGGATGGTGGCCGAAGCCTACTCTTGTTGAATTTGGACAACCAAGGAATCTTTGACGTGCACAACTTTCACACGCGGATCCACGGAAAACCATCATGTATGATGTATAAAACGCACAGCCACAGACGCTCACCTTGGCCTTGAGTCCCATGCTGATGTCCTCCATGGTGTCTCCGACCACCACAGCTCTCTCCGTGCTCGTACCCATCTCCTCGCAGATCAGCAGCGCGTTGTGTGGGTCAGACTTCTGCCGCGACATCGGGTCGTCTCCGCACACCATCATGTCCACGTATGGGGTGAGCCCCATGGCCTTGAGGTCGTTGAGGGCCGTCTCGCGGGACTCGGTTGTGTTGATGGCGATCTTGACGCCGTTCTCCTTGAGCGTGTGGAACAGCCGCTGGGTGTCCTTGTCCAGCGGGACGATGGTGGCACTCTTGATGGCGTCCTCGCAGTCCTGCCACGCCTGGGGGGAGGGGAGTCAAAGAGAAGGTTTACTCGAAGTAACAGAAAGACAGAAATGACAAAATGTTTGTTTTAGTAGAGGTTTTTACGGCCCTCGCAACAAACATAAAAAAGAAGAAGGGGAGATAAGGACGATAGACATTCGATAGTGAAGAAGAAGCAGAGCACCCGCCAACCACCTACAGAGAAAGTTTTTAGTTTAGTTTTACCAGAGGTATTACGGCGCTCGCAACTGCATAAGGTCATACGAGCACCAGAAGGTGTTTCAAGAGAGTAACAAACATAAAAAAGAAGAAAGAGAGATAAGGAAGATAGATGTTTGATAGGAAAGAAGGAGCAAACCACACCAAAGCACCCGCCAACCATCCACTCGTCGATGACTGTCACAGATCTGGTACTGGATGAATGAATAGTAAAAAAAGACAGCACCCCTGGGATAAAAGATACAACCAGTGATAATAATTCATCATACAAACTTCAATGTACATAATTGAGAGATAATATTCTAAAAGTCACACACTCTGTTTACTGGTGTTATTAATCATTAATAAGAATTGGTTTCCAACAACACTCAAGTAAGCGTTTTACGGAACTTGCAACTGCATAAGATCATATGAGCGCCAGAAGATTAGAGGAGTTACAAGAAAGTAACAAACACAAAAAAGAAGGAGGGGAGATAAAGACGATAGATGTTCGATAGCAAAGAAGGAGCAAACCACACACCAGAGCACCCGCCAACCACTCACATAATAATAATACTAATCAAACCTGATTGATGGTTATGATGGCTTCCTCGTAATGGAATCCTTCCTGCCTCAGGAGCTGGACCAGAGCCTCCTTCAGTTGTATGTGAGCGCCAGTTCCCAGCAAGCCGTTCTGAACTTTCTTCGAGTCCCTGGACACCCCCAGGTGCTTGTAGATCAGAGGACCCAGGTCCATGCCGGTCTTCACTTCTAGCCTGGGAATAGCAAGTCAAAACATTTTCTCAGCGTCATCAAAGTACAGTGGTGAGTTTAGACTCAAGTAAAGCCAAGCAAGTGTCAGTGACACGGGGATCAGATGGGTGGTCACTGGCGTGTGTCCTTGAGCAAGACACGACAACCTTAGCTCAAAATACAGGGTGCTGCACAGTGGCGACCGACAGTGGCATGGTTGTAAACGGTTCTGTATTTGTGTAATATTGTGTACTTATGTATGTATAATTTGTGCATCTATTTATGGATGTACATATTTATAATTATGTATGTATAATGTATGTGTACGTATGTTTGCCATTGTAAACCAAAGTGCCCTTCTGGAACAAATTAAAGTGTAATTTATTTAATTTTTTTTTTAAAGAAGCTTTTAGTTTTAGTAAATGTTTTACGGCACTTGCAACACAATAAGGCCATGTAAGTGCCGAAGATTAGAGGTGTTACAAGAGAGTAACAATCAAAAGAAAGAGGCGAGATAAGGACGATACATATATATGCCAACACCCATGCCAAACAAAATTTCTAAAACTCAAAATTCCAAGCTGGAGGGACTAGCGGCGTCGGTGGCCTAGTGGTTAGGCTACCGTACTCGTAATCATCTGATTGCAGGTTCGGGGGTTCGAGCCTCAGCTCGGCCCGACGTTGTGTCCTTGGGAAAGGCACTTTACATGATTTCCCACTTGGCTCGGCTCCCTCGGAGATAGACGTTAAACTCGGAGGTCCCGCCTCTTAAATAACCTAATAGTGTTGATTGGGGTGTAAAACCCAATATCATTTATGAGGCAGCAAGGTGATATCAGGTGCTCAAAATAAAAAAATTGGAGAAACAGACATTTTTTCCACTTTGGAAATTTTTATCGTATTTTTATCTTTTAGCTCAACCTCTTTTATGTCCAAATAAAAATACATTTCCATGTGAATTTTACTAAAGAAATATGTCATTTTTCTGATTCCAAGGACTCTAGCTATTGGAGTTACTGTACTTTGGCGGCCATCTTCCTGCTAATTTCACCACTGAAATCAAGCGACCTGATTTCTTTCAATATCTTCAGTTCTATTCAAGATAGATGAATATTTATTTCATTGGAAGCAAGGCAAATAAATCAGCTCTCAGATGGTACAAATGGTCGCTTTTAAGCACAAGGGGGCCATCCCGAAAAATGCTGTTTTCAGAAAAGCGAAAATAAAAGTTTTTGCCCCTTGTTCAATTTCTTTAAAAGACAAGGAGAGTTTTCTCTATAACCAAACAAATGTACAAACCAATTAAACCAAACTTCTCCTATAGGTAGGGCAATGCTTTTGGTGTAGGTCAAGATTTCTGGAAACCCATGAAATCTGGGTTAGCCCGCTTGTCCTTAAAAGCGACCAAATAACACCACATGCCCAGAAATTGACGAGCGCCTGATTCCACCACGTTCTGACACATTTCACTTCACAAAGGAGCTACCTACCTGCTGGTCAATTTCTCCAGCCACTGTATGTACTTGTGGTGTGTGCACACCAGCGTGCCGTTCAGATCGAAGATGACCACGTCGTAATTGTCCATGCTAAAGTCCTGCGTCTCCTCTTTCGGAACAGGGTCAAGGTCAACAGGCTCCCTCAGCACGCGCTCGTGAGAGGAGTACGTGTAGTAGTTGACCCAGTCATCGTAGGGCATGATCAGGGGAAGCAGGTCTTTCACACTGGAAGCAAAAACAACAATAATCTTTGAAGAGCAAAGCTTGGTGGTCCAAAATCGATAAGAGTAGGCTTCGGCTGCCATCTGGGCAAAATTCAAAAATTTCCAACAAATTGAAAATGTTTGGTGAGTCCCGCCGGCCTATGCGAGTGCCGTAAAACACTTACCAAAACAAACAAAGAAAAAGAGCAAAGGCTTACAGAATAACACAATTTAAACTTATGTTTTAGTAAGTGTTCTACAGCACTCGCAACACGATAAGGTCATATAAGTGCCGAAGATTAGAGGTGTACAAGAGAGTAACAAACATAAAAAGAAGGAGGGGACATAAAGACGATAGATGTTTGATAGGAAAGAAGAAGCAAACCACACAAGAGCACCCGCCAACCACCCACAATTTAAACTTAAAATACAAATTAAGAAGTGTGATCAAAAGAGGTAGGTCTGCAACACTAAAAGCAAAAATGAATTTTTACAAGTTCATTTTAATAAAAGTTCTAAAGCACTTGCAACACAATTTGGTCCTATAAGTGATATCTTCTTGAGCTCACTTTTTGTTACGAACTGTTTTCACTGTTATTAAAAGAATTTTTTTAAAAGACAATTCTGACCGTACTCCCTACCAACGTTACACTTTACTTTTCCGATCCAGCAGTCAGGCATCTGGGTCATTCTAGCTCTTCGGCCTAAACCTACCAAGGTTATTTATAACTTTCACTTTTACTTTCCTTTTTCGATCCAGGGGCCATTTGAGTTCTAGCCCTTCGGCCTGTCGATACGGCAAAGACTTTACAGGTTTTTAATCAGCTGTGTTTTGTCGAATAAGATTATAAAAATACGGTACTCACTTGTCAATAACGTAGTTGGCCTCCGGCAAAAGTTCCTCCGTGTCCCCGACTCCGCTGAGCACCCCGATCACCCAGCCCAGCTTGGCGGAGTGTCCCATGCCCATGTCGGCCTTGGTGTCCCCAACCATGACGGTCTTCTCTGGGTCCACGCCCAGCTCCCCGCAGATCTTCCAGGCGTTGTGGGGGTTGGGCTTGGCCTGCGTGTTGGGGTCGTTGCCGCAGACGACCATGTCGATGTACGGCGTGAGCCCCAGGTGGCGCAGCGTGTTCATGGTTCCACGCCGGTTGTCAGCCGTGCAGATGGCGATCTGAAAGTGGATGAAAATTTAATGTTTTAGTACACGTTTTACGGCACTTGCAACACAATAAGGTCATATACCAAGAGCCGAAGATTCGAGTTTTAGTTTCAGTAGAGGTTTTACAGCGCTCGCAACTACATAAGGTCATATAAGTGCTGAATATTAGAGGTGTTACAAAAGAGTAACAAACACAAAGAAGGAGGAAAGATAAGGACGATAGATGTTTGATAGGAAAGAAGAAGCAAACCACACCAGAGCACCCGCCAACCACCCACAGAAAATTTAAGAAATGGGATCGTCTTGTAATAGAACTATATCTCATCTCGTAAGAACTGTCATAAACGAACTTTTTATGCTCCTGGTCAAATAGTGTAAAGAAAAGCACATATATATGTCAAGAGGCGGTGAAGTCAGGCGCTCGTCAATTTGTGGGCATTTGGAGTTATTGGTATCATCTTAAAGGTTGTTCATTTGCCTTGCTTTTGATGAAAAAAATATCCATTTATTATGAATAGAAGTCGAGATGTTTGATTGAAAGAGGTGGGGGTCACCTGGTTTCAGAAGTAAAAATAGCGAAAAAATGGCCGCAAAAGCTTGGTGACTTCCATAGCTAAAGAGTCCTTGGAAACTGCAAATTTACATTTTGTGTGCCTTTAATCAACATTTTTAAAATAAAAATCCATACATGAAAGTGTTTTTGAAAGAACATACAAGGTGTTGAGCCAATAAACAAAAATATTTTTTAAATTTCCAAACTGGCTGAAAAGTGCCGATTTCTCGGATTTCATTCTTCTGACGAGCGCCTGATTTTACCACGATGCCTCACATATGTATATCTAACATAGACGATTTAATGCTGGTGAAACTTCTCATCAACCAGCTTACCTTCACATCATTAGCCTTGAGAATCTTGAAGAGCGAGATCAGATCCGGGTGGATGGACTGCACGGCACTCTTCTCTTTCCCGCTGTCTCCCTCCACCCAGCTGTCCACGACGGCTTTACGGGCCTTCTCCGCGGGCACGCCCTCGGCCACCAGCACCTTGACCAGCTCTTCCTGGATGATCGGAGAAGTCATCTCTGCCAGCAGGCCGGGGAACACGCGCTTGGACAGGGCACACACCCCCAGCGTCTCGTACAGCTTGTCCTCAATGTCCAGACCCACGTGACGAGCGATGCTGGAGTGGAAAACAGGGATGTAAAGAGGTTTTGAAAAAAAAGCCGGAAAATATACGGCGCACGCGCACAGACTGAAATAAGAATACAGTGAGACTAAATTATATGTTTCTTTCCCTCTATTACAACAAATAATCACTATTTAGTATATATAATATGTATTGTTTATAGTAGATTTTTGTTAAAAGATGGATCCCTAATGGCAAGTCGGCTGGAAAAAACGGAAAAATCCGGAAGATTTACACCCCTGGTAAAAAGTAGAAGGTAGTTTCAGTAAGAGAGGTTTGTTCGGTTTCTTTTTTAATTTTGGATTTTTTTTTGGGGGGGGGGGGGGGGGGGGAATCGTTTTAGTTTTTGTAAGAGTTTTACGGCAAACCAATAAGGTCATAAAAGAGCCGAAGGTTAGAGGTTTTACAAGAGTAACAAACACACAAAAAAAAGGAGGGAGGTAGTTTTAGTAAGAGAGGTTGTTTTGGTTTTTTTTTAAATTTTGGATTCTTGTGGGGTTGGATTTTTAAAGTTTTAGTAAGAGTTTCCCGGCACTTGAAACACAATAAGGTCATGTAAGTGCCGAAGGTTAGCGGTGTTACAAGAGAGTAACAAACACAAAAAAAAGGAGGGGAGATAGCGACGATAGTTTTTTTATAGGAAAGAAGGAGCAAACCACACCAGGGTACCCACCAACCACCCACTGGATTGTTTTGGGGTTGTTGCGGGGGGTTTTTTGCGATGATATATGGAGATGCGAGGAAAGGGACACGAGAAAGATGAAGCTCACTCGGAAAGGTGGCCCAGGACAGAGATAAATAGAAGGAGCTTGTATGTGGCCTATACCCTGCCAGGGATGGAAGGCATTGATGATGATGACATCTTTGTTGACATCCACCCTTGGCGCTCACATAACCTTATGCAATTACGAGAGCCGTGAAACCTCTACTAAAACAAACAAAACAAGAGTGATCCAAGAAGAATGTTTACGGTACTTTACCTCTCAGTGACCCTGACAGCCCACGAGGACCACATGGAGTGGAAGCAGATGAGGGTGCCATCCTTGTCGAAGATGACCAGCTCGGCTTTCTCCTGCTGGGAGGACTGACGGTGCCTGGAACAGCCTCTCGTCTCAAACAAGAAGTTCCTCCTCGAACTGTCCTCCTCCGCAGCCGTGGACTTTGGTCGCTGGAACACTTTGTACGGAGCAGCTGTGAGAGAACAAAAAGAACATTATGGAGGGGTGCTAGAGAACGAAAAGAACATTGTGGAGGGGTGCGAGAGAACAAAAAGAACAGTATGAAGCAGATGTGAGCAAGCTTTCTTTACATTACTTTTCCTTTTCCAATCCAGAGTCCATCTGGGCTCTAGCCCTTCGGCCTGTCGATATGGCAAAAAATTTACAGGTTTTTATCAGATGTGTGCAAGCAAAAAGTGCATTGTGGAGCAGCTATAGGAGAACAAGAAGATTACGGCACTCGCAACTGCATACGGTCATATGAGCGCCAAGGGGTGGATGTCAACATAGAAGTCCTTACAGGGAATCAGGCTTACTCGGCTCACCTCTCTAGCTTCAACAGCACAAAGTCTGCTTCGACTATCAAGGCACCCCCAAAATAGCAGGTCACAAGAGAGTGACAAAGATACAAAAGAAGTAGAGGAAAAAATGACCATAGTAAGGATGATGAAAGAAAAAGCGCAGCAGTTGCCCATATGTTGTTCCGGCACAGTATGAGCATGACATAGATAAATCAGGCCATTTACAATTCTGCTGAGCATAAGAACATGTTAATATCCCCCCTTTGGGAATAGCGTAACGACACTTCAGTCAGTGGCACTGCCCTGGGGGGTATGTCACAGTTGAATGGGACTTAGAAATGTTTTCAAAACTGCGAAAATCTTTAGGGCCCTTCTGTGGAACTGACAGACAAAATCAGTGGTTCCGGTAAGATGACTCCACCCCAAATACAACAGTGAGGGTTCTTCAGCGGATTGAAGATCATTTCTGGCGAGAAAATCATCAGCAAACATTCTGCTCAGGTTTGGGCACCCCATGGCCCTGACTTGTGGACAAAATTGAGAAAATCTATGCGATCATAGGGACGTTGTATTAAACCATGTCTGGCACATTCAACCAAGAGTTATCGAGAGATTTAAAAATCTAGCTTTTTCGCACAAAAGAATGCTTTCCCTGTAAGGGTCCCTTTACACTGACAGTTCAATCATCGACAAACTGACAGTTTAACCGACAGACGCAAGATCTGGGTCACCGTTGAACTGAAAGTTTGTCGACGGGAGAAGTTCCATTTAGACGTAGAGTTTTTTTTTTCCATCGCAAGTGTCAGTCCTTGACAAAACACACCCCAAAAAAATAAACTTGGTAATCCGGCATTAAATTGTGTCATCTGCAAGATTTTTACTAACTTTGGGTCGCTGATTTTTTTTATTTGACCAATATTTAGGAAAATTTTGGAATGCATTTTCAACTCTGCCTGGGGCAACATCGAAGAATGCACTCCCTCGCCGTCATGCCTTCAGTTTGCCGGCCGACAAATATCTGGCATTGCCAGATTTCTGGAGGCTGGACTGACAACCCTTCGATATCGAGATGGATTTCTCGTTTCCAGGCTCAGTTTTACAGTGAAGTTGAGAGGATGCCCGCCATTCTTTCGATATCCTACAGTTTGTCGATCAATGAACTGCATGTGTGAATGAGGCCTAACAGATGACTTATTGAATACATGATAAAAAAAGTAAGTGCTAAAAATTGCACTGCGTTCCATGCTTCAAATGTTAATTTAATTCAGTGTGCATAAATTTTCCACTAGTGAGAGAAATTTTGTGACTGCATTTTCATGGGTTTCTGTTTTAGTGTTGATTCTATGGCAGCCATGTTTTTTGGAACACCTGGTACAAATTAACACTGCAACAATAGCACACAATTATGAAGTCACTATGGCTGACAAGTAAAGTTGTTCCCGCATCCGATCCAGGCATTGGGCTGTCCCTGTCGTTTTAAGCAAGAAAAATTCTGAAATTATGCAAACTAAGCCTAAAAATGTGAATTATGCCATTTTGATAATTTTAACAAAGAATGATAAAGGAAAATAATCAAAAATCATGCATAAAATGATCAAATTTGGCTAAATTATGCGGGGTGCATAAAACCACAGGGACAGATTGGGGATTGTCTTGTTAGTGAGGCAACTTCCTGGGCCTTCGGCATATTGCGATAGGGTGGCCAGTTCCTTTCCACGCCGCCTTTACTTCCCCAACTCGAAGTCAGGTACCTGTTACCGCTGGGTGGGCAGGAGGGGGCGAAAAAAATCTGTGTCCGAACTGAGGCTGACAAGTATCTTCCCCAAAAACATTATTAGTATTCCGCTAGGTTTATACATGTACAAAAAAAAAAAAAACACAGTTTGAAGGTGACTGCTCAAAATTAGTTTTAGTAAGTGTTTTACGGCACTTGAAACACAATAAGGTCATATAAGTGCCGAAGAACGGAGGTGTTACAAGAGAGAAACATACCAAAAAAAAGGAACAAAATTAAACAAAACCCATCACCTATGTGAGATTGATGCTAAATTATGATATTATATTAATTTTTAAAGAACTTACGAGGTCATTATGATTACATAGCTATAACCTCCTGGCGCGGTGCTACTGACTGAAGTGTCTTCAGGCCATTCTCATTGGGGGACATTAAAATCTCGAGTTCTTATATTATGCACAGTAGAACTGTAATAGAAAATGGGCTGATTCATCAATGTCATGTTCATAACTGAGCCTGAACTGCAACAGGGAACTGTTGCTTTTTCTTTCCTAATCCTTACTATGGTTATTTTTCCTCTACCACTTTTGTATGTTTGTCACACTCTTGTGACCCGTTATTTCTGGGGCACCTTGATAGTTGAAGCAGACTTTGTGCTGTTGAAGCTAGAGAGGTGTGCAGAGTAAGCCTGATTCCCTGTAAGGACTTCTCTGTTGACACCCACCCCTTGGCACTCATATGACCGTATGCAGTTGCGAGCGTCATAAAACCTCTACTAAAAACAAAAAAACTAACATAGCTGTTTTGTCAAAAATAGAACAGAACAATAGCTAAATTGAAAACGTACAGAAGGAGAAGGAAAATAAACTTGAGTGCCCAGCTTTCAAAAAAATATATAATCGTAATAATTTTACGGCCTTCGCAACACAAATAGGTCATATAAGTGCTGAAAACTAGACGCATTTCCAAAAGAATAGCATGGAAAGTGAAGGAGAAGTTAAAAGGATGCCAGATCTTTGACAGGAAAGAAGGAACAAATGTGTCACGGCGTGTTGGAAACAGGCGCTCGTCAATTTTTGGGCCTGTGGAGTTACAGGTATCATCTGAAAGCTGATTGATTTGCCTTGCTTGCAACGAAATAAATATCCATTTATCTTGAATAGAACTCAAGATATTTGAGATTGAAGTAAGAGAGGTCACCTGGTTTCAGGGGTGAAATTTGCAAGAAAATGGCCGTCACAGTTTGGTAACTCGAATAGATTTAGAGTCCTTGAAAACAGAAAAATGACATAAGTAATCAATGTTTTTCAGTAAAATTCACATGGAAATGTAATTTTATTGGACATAAAAGAGGTAGAGCCAAAAAATAAGAATTTGATAAAAATTTCCAAACTGGCGGGAAAATGCCTGTTTCTCTGATTTCGTTATTTTGACGAGCACCTGATTTGATCACGCTGCCTCACTCATTCCATACACAGAATCTGCAACGGTTCGGAAAATAAAAAATACAACTTCAAAATGAAGTTTCTACATGTATAACAAATAGTCGGCTGTTAATAGTTTAACAGTTGCAACACATTTAATCCTTATCAGTAAAATAAAACTGAATGAGGAAATTTACGAAACTCTTTTTTTTCCAGATAATGTTACACATAACAGGCTTTATCTAGAGGAACATAAATTGATTGGCATCCCAGCAACATTCCATTCTATCCCAATCAAATTGCTCTCTCAGTGCCCGCTTAAAACCTTTTTCCCCTGTTAAATAAAAAGCTGGGTTTGTTTCAGAATGTTCTCAGGTCTGCGGGGGTAATAGAATAGATTGTGAAGCGCATAGAGCTTGCTATTGAGCGGGGATTTGCGCTATACAAATGCTATCTATTATTATTAAATAAAAAGCACCCAATAATTTGCAGAGCTCTTGTTTCTACTAGTTGGTAAATGACTTGAATGTTATTGACATGATGGTAGATAAACTTATAATTGTGGCGCTCATATGAACTTATGCAGCTGCAAGCGCCGTAAAACCTTACTAAAAGAAAAACAGAGATACTTATTGTTTAATTAAAGACCTAAAGACTCTGTAAAAAGTGACACAAACTCTCATTTCAGGGAGGCACAGACTATTTGCTCATGCCCTCCAAAGCACAGTTTTTAAAAAGTTCATCGTCTTCATCCAGTCAAACTCCCAAGTTATGCAATACTCATTGTACAGGGCCCTTTTTCAAACATTTATTTGAACAGTGCAAACATGTTCTTTGAACAGGACGCAGCACATTCAAACAATCTCCAGTTTCTTATCTCAAGTCCGAAAAGAAGCGCCCATCATGATAACTAATGTTTGGAAATTTCCAGTCCAGCTGAGGGAAAGCTTGCAAGGTCACCAGACACTTTTATGGGGTGGGAAGGAAGATTAAGAAGCAGGAAGCAGACAGCTAATTTATAATCTCTCTCTCTATTAAGTAGACAATTCACAAAGCAATTAGCAAAGTTCATCACGATTAAGTTAACATCTCTCAGACAGAAAATAAAAAAAATATAAAAAAACTCTGATCTCAATGTTTAATATTTTTTCTAAAATTCAAAAGCAATAAAGAGAATCCTAGTCTTTATAATCACCACCACAGTTGAAATAACACTACTCTCTGGTTATCTCCACTACTTATCATGACTTGCAGTTTGTAGGCCGAAAAAAAAAAATGCAAATTTAGATAGAGGCTGTTGCTTGTCTTTATAATAAATGTAACTTGATATTTGACAAGTGTTGGCCATTGAGGAGTCAGAACACTTTAATTCCTGTCTTTTTTTGTCTTTTTTTTGCCTTCTTTTTTTGGTAAGAGTTTTACGGCACTTGCAACACAATTAAGTCATATAAGTGCCAGAGAATAGAGGTGTTACAAGAGAATAACAAACACAAAAAAAGAAGGAGAGATCAGGACGATAGATGTTTGATAAGAAAGAAGGAGCAAACCACACCAGAGCACCCTCCAACCACCCACATTCCTGTCTTAATTAAGAATAACACATTTAATTTAAGTATATACATTCAAGAAAGGAAGAGAAAAATGACTCTCTCATTTCAAATTAAAACCGGTGGGGGGGAGGGGGTTGCTACTGACTGAAGTGTCTTTAGGCCATTCCCAAAGGGGGGGGGGGGACATTATTTTAACCATGTTCTTACGCACAGTAGAACTGCAATTGTAAATGGGCGGATTCATTAATGTCAGGCTCATAACTGTGCCTGAACTGCAACAAGCAACAAGGAGCAACTGCTTTTTCTTCCCTAATCCTTACTATCATCCTTTTCCTCAACTTCTTTTGTATGTTTGTCTCACTCTTGTGACCCGCTATTTCTGGGGTGCCTTGATAGTCTAAGCAGACTTTTTGTGCTGTGAAGCTAGAGAGGTGAGCAGAGTAAGTCTGATTCCCTGTAAAGACTTCTCTGTTGACATCCACCCTTTGGCACTCATATGAACTTATGCAGAACAGTTGCGAGCCCCATAAAACCTCTACTAAAACTAAACAAACTGTTCTGTATAATAACTATTAGTACCACAGTTAATCAAACTCTCTTCCTCCTCTGCATGTGACAGCTGCACTGTCCTGCTATGTCTGTGGGCGAAATGAGGTCGTCTTTCTCAAGTCAACCCGACCCTTATGAAATACAACCAAGGATGTGGGTGAATGGTTGGTAGGTGCTCTCGTGTGGTTTGCTTCTTCTTTCCTATCACACATCTATCGTCCTTCTCTCCCCCTTCTTTTTTGTGTCTCTTACTCTTTTGTAACACCTCTAATCTTTCGCCTTTATATGACCTTATTGTGTTGCAAGTGCCGTAAAACTCTTACTGAAACTTAAAAAGACAACCAAAGACAAAGCAAGGGTCAGCGAACCTTCATGACATTCTTCCTGAAACGGGGTAAGTTAAATTTCCGTTAAATATCTCTCAGTCGGCAATAATTTCACCGCATTGACAGCTGGTAACAATTCAAACCCTCTGTTTATTAAAGCATTGAAGGTGTTATGGTTATGAGCAGTGTGGAACCTCACAAAGAGACAATCCATTACATTTGAGACCATTTGAGACGCAATACACTCGTCATCTCTCTTCCGTCTCAGACAGCAAAGTACCCGAAGATGTCCCATTTCACAATAAAATCTTGATATTATAACCCTATCCGTACGTCGTGTTTTACTATCGTAGCCGTACGACAATAACCCATGAATACCTGTCATACATTATTTCCTCTCGCATTAACGACAAGCATCCAAAATTCTTCATATATTAAGACGACCAGTCACAAGATGCCCACCCCAGATGGAAGACAGAAGGGTATTGTGCAAAGCCATAATATTTGTGAAATACAACACTAACAGGGAAAATGTAACTTTAAGAAAAATTGGGGGGGGGAGGGGACATTAATCAAAATAAAAAAACACTGAGGCCTTACTTCATGAGCAGATAAATATCTACTCCATAGAAACAATACAAACAAGCAAAATTTTGAATTCCTTTATGCAATGTCCATGGGCCCTGTATCTTGTTTCCGAGTACTTCCTTCATAATGGTCTGGTGGGTAACATTTAAAATTTATATGACCAAAGTATTGGATTTTTCTACTTTTCATTTTGTTTAACATGGTTTGTCTTGTTATTGCTTATTCTTTTTGCTTTCCAGCTAATTCTGGCACATCTGTGGTAGCACTACATCTCAAATGCAGATATGTGAGGCAGCGTGGAGAAATCAGGCGCTCGTCAAAATAGCGAAATCAGAGAAAAGGGCATTTTTTTGCCAGTTTGGAAGATTTTATTGAATTTCTATTTTTTTGGCTCAACCCCTTTTATGACCATACAAAAACACATTTCATGTGAATTTTACTGAATAACATTTATTAAAGACATAAAATATGTCATTTGTCAGTTATTAAGGACTCTTTAGCTATTGATGTTACCAAACTCTGGCAGCCATTTTTTCGTTAATTTCAGCTCTGAAACTGAAACAAGGCAACCTCATCTCCTTCAATCGAAAATATTTTGACTTCTCATCAAGGTAGATGGATATTTATTTCATTAGAAGAAAGGGAAATGAAAAATCTTTCAGATGATACCCAAGAATTGACAAGTGCCTGATTCCACCGCCACGTTGCGACACATATTTTGTGTCCTTTTTTCTTTGTCAGTGTCCAGGTTTCAGCGACATAGGAAAATGGGGAAGATGTAGCACTACACCAATTTTTTCCTTTTTTTAAAAGTAGAGAAAACTGCCATACTGGGTTTAACAACTTCTTCTATCTGTAAATCATGTATCTGCAATGTAATTTCGCCAAAAATATGCAACACGTCAAGCTTAGTTGAGACGGTGCAAGAAGGTTTCGGGGACATATTTATATAACTCCTCACTTCACCCAGGTGGGAATGGGTACCTGGCTAAAGACAGCGAAAGATCTTGTCAGTTTGTTAGTGTTTGAGCGCTTAACCAGCTGCTTGCACTGTATGCTTCCCAGGAAGCTGAGAATGTTTTGGAGTGTACTATGGTCTGCTGGGGTAAAAATATAATGTAAAGCGCATAGAGCTTGCTGTTGAGTGGGGATATGTGCTATACAAATGCTATTTATTATTATTATTTATTATTATTAAATGGGGAAGATGTAGCACTCCAACAATTTCTCCCTTTTTTTTAAAGTAGAGATAACTGCCATATACTGGGTTTTACAACTTCTTTTATCAGTAAATCATGTATCTACAATGTAATTTCGGCAAAAATTATAAAAATATGCAACAAGTCAAGCTTAGTTGAGACGGTGCAAGCAGGTTTCAGGGACATATTTATATATAGGGAAATGGGGAAGATGTTGTAGCACTCCACCAATTTCTTTCTTTTTTTTAAAGTAGAGATAACTGCCATATACTGGGATTAACAACTTCTTCTATCAGTAAATATATGTATCTGCAATGTAATTTCGGTAAAAATATGCAACACGTCAAGCATAGTTGAGACGGTGAGAGCAGAGACATGTTTATATGGAAATGGGGAAGATGTTATAGCACTCCACCAATTTCTTCTTTTTTTTTTAAAGTAGAGATAACTGCCCTATACTGAGTTTAAAAACTCCTATCAGTATCTACAATGTAATTTCGGCAAAAATATGCAACATGTCAAGCTTAGTAAAGACGGTGCAAGACTTAACAGTGCTGGCATTGTTTTTCCATTCAACCGTCATCATGGCACGACGGCTTGGAGGGGAAATTTTTTTTCTTACACATTTAGACCCACGCTCCTCTAGCTGGAATGTTTGTCAAGCTCTTATCTCATCTGGGAATTTCCGTTGTTTCAGACTCCATAGCTTCTCGTACCTGTACCATACACACTACTACTACTGGCCCACTTATCTGCGGTCGCCTGTCTCGGTCTTATCACAAGGGTCAAGGCACGGGGTTTTTGACAAGTTGACTAAGAGAATACGCCTATCTATCTTGATGATGTAACAGGTGGGTGGCTTACAGTTGGGACAATGAGGTCATGAATGTGTAGCATACCCAGTGACCTCACAGCTATATTTAACTGTGAGGGAGAAGTCAACTCAGCAGAAGATTAAAATGTTGAGACAGAGTATAAATATAATATGGATATAAGTAATAACTGATTTTTAGTAGTAGGAGTAGTGTCCCAGACTTCCACATATAGTGTAAAGTAAAAAGTATTAAAGCTTAAAAGATACGAAGTGACTATTTCTCCGAACGTTCGGAGAAATAGTGCCGATCTTTATATATCTTTATATATCCTAAAAGATATATCTGACCCGCATATTTTTTTTTTTTCTGAGCAGATTTTTTAATCAACCAAAAAGATAAAGAATTGTTAACCTGACTCCACTCATCACTTCATCTTGTAATTATTAAGTATCTGTATTTAACTCAATGATTTTAGAAATTATAAAAGGCTCTAATTCTCTAACTTTACAATGCATTGGGAAAAAAAGAGACAACAATGCATTCTCTGTAAAAATCAGACAGAATACAAAAATGGCTCTACCACTCTTTGAATAGCTGTATGAATACCGGGAAAAAAATAACAAATATTGAATCTAAATAGTAGCCTAAAGACCAAGAGAACAGAAATTGAGATTTCTCTGCTATATTTTTCCTGCGTCTCAGCAAGATAAATCCAGCATCCTTACCCGCTGTGCTGTAGACAGATAGCCTTGAAAGTCTCTGAGTACTGAGTTCTGTTCGACATCTCAAGGGGCGCAAGCAGCGCATCAGTGAAATAAGGCGACTCATCATGAAGCCTATCAAAGACGAAACAAACAAACAAATTAATTAATTAAAAAATAAAATAATTAGCATGAATGTTACAACAACGTATTTATAAATGTTACACAATGCCCCAATTCTTTCCACAAAAATGGGTTTTGGAACTGTTGGAACTGTACGGCTTTACCTGGGTTCTATCACAGTCTAGGTGGGTAAGCAATGATCCATGCACCACACAGGGAAGAAAATGCACTATACCATGTAATGTTAATTAATAGGTGTAGCTTTTTGTTTTCCGTAATTCTGCACTGTAACTAATATCATGTACCATAAATAGAAAGTGGCTATTCTCACCCGCCCGGAAGTTCTCGCAAGATCAACTCCTCCCCTCTTCTCTCTCTCTCTGTCTCTTTCTGAATACTGTCTATCGGTGTGGACGATCAAATTGACCAAAACAAAGTTAAAAAATGATGTCAAAACACAAAAGTAAATAAATTTGGTTGTCTACATTACCAAAGATGCTACGGCTATTTAACTTTCCAAATCGAGCCGAACTACGCGGGTCGCCATTTTGTTTTGTTCTCTCTCTCTCTCCACTGCCCACAGACAAAATTGTACGCTTTTAGTAGGCTACAATTGTAATGGAACGTTTGTTCACAGCACAGAATTCTACAATTTTTCTGTTATAATCACAGTGTAGAATTCTGTGGTTTAGGGTGAACGCAAAATTTGGTGAACGCGCACCGGGTGAGAATAGCCACAAGACTCGCCTGCACTATTCTCACTCCGGGTGAGAATAGAGGTGGCCTTACCAGAAACACCGCTTGACTACTGCTTAGAGTTTTTATTTTCTGACTTTTATAAAAACTACCTTGTTGTGAATATATTTAGATCACATAGGGCAGGGGCCCACCATGTTTGTTTTGTGGAGCAGCGCTTCATTATGCATTCTGATGTGATGCTGTTGTTCAAAACAAACATCATATAAATTAACATACATCATTTATTTATATAAGGGTAATGAATTAAGTCTCTATCTCCCAGGCATTTATATAAGGGTAATGAATTTTTAAAGTAAAGTCTCTATCTCCGAGGGGGGTAAACCCACTACGCCGAGACCCTTTTTTGGTAATAAATCTAAAAATGAGAAAAATTGAAAACCGTCACAAAATGAGTTAATATATATTCAAAACTAGCAAACCTATATTATATAATATGATGAAAGTGGCTATTCTCACCCGCCCGGAAGTTCTCGCAAGATCTACTCCTCCCCTCTTCTCTCTCTCTCTGTCTCTTTCTGAATACTGTCTATCGGTGTGGACGATCAAATTGACCAAAACAAAGTTAAAAAATGATGTTAAAACACAAAAGTAAATTAATTTGGTTGTCTACAAAGATGCTACGGCTATTTAACTTTTCGAATCGAGCCGAACTACGCGGGTCGCCATTTTTGTTCTCTCTCTCACTCCCCTGCCCACAGACAAAATTGTACGCTTTTAGTAGGCTACAAGTACAGTTGTAATGGAACTTTTGTTCACAGCACAGAATTCTACAATTTTTCTGTTATCACAGGGCAGGGTAAACGCAAAATTTGTTGACACGCGCACCGGGTGAGAATAGCCACAAGACCCGCCTGCACTATTCTCACCCCGGGTGAGAATAGAGGTGGCCTTTATATGATAGTGCTGATAGATCTAGATTCTAGAAGAAGGAACACAATTTTTTCATCAGGGGGCCTATTTTGCCTTTTTTTTGCCCTGGCCTTAGCCATAGGCTTAGGACAGGAGGCTAGACCTAGAAATCTAGTCATCAAATCAACAAGTCCCTCCTCGAGTGGATTCCAAATAGGGCAGGGCATAGGCTAGTAATCTAGATTTCTTAGATCTATTGTTTATTTGTTACACGATTGCACAAATCCAGTAAACGTCGTCACACCCATCAGATTTGCCAACGTTCCAAGAGAGACAGGAGTAGATTGTAGGCTAGGCAATAATAAAGGCAAGCCTAGTCTAGCTAGGCCTAGAGTCTACTTGGTGGCAATGTTCGTTTTTTTATGTTAACAATAGAGACTATCATGACATCAAAAACAAAAACAAACGACCGAAAACATTACATTTCCGATCACAGCATAGCATTAATCAGCAATTTTACCTTCGCCAGCTAACCAAAGAAAGGAACTGGGACACTATGATCACTGACCACCTGGGCGACTTCACTTGTGAATGCGAATAAATAGAATCGGTGTCCCAGTTTTGTCTTCTCTCCGACCGCAAGCCGCCATTGATAGGCTAGACGAATAGAGAAGCTTGTGCGCATGTGCGGGTTAGACGAATCAGATGCCCAAGAATAATCTGAGGTTTTCCACAAGGTCATTTGTCTTGATCTTGTTCTAGATTTTTATTTTTTTTCAGTGCACGTACAATGTGCAACTGCAACCAGAGAAGTGCAACCCAAAAACGAAAATGGGTGCAATTCCCCTCTCTAAAAGATAAAAATTTGCATTTCCCTCCCTCTGTCTGTCTGTCTGTCTGTGTGCTGTCTGTCTGTCTGTCTCTCTACTCTCTCTCTCTCTCTCTCTCTCTCTCTCTCTATCTATCTCTCTCTCTCTCTCACACACACACACACACACACACACACACACACACTCACACACACACACACACACACACACACACACACACACACACACACACACCTTCTTTGCAACAATTATTATGGGTGAATCCATAATTGATTTGTCAATAGGCCTAGAATAAATTGGTCTTGCCTGAGTGCATGCCCTAGTTTCGCTGTCCGTTCTTTTCTCTTCACGGGTCGATGATGTCAGGATTCAACAACAAACGCGGCTTCTGTATGCTGTTCGGAAGCGTTTCACAAAATTATTTAATAGTAATAAATTGTGTGTAACCAGGGACCTGGTAGCCTACTCTAGTACAGACTCTCTGGTGTGACAATAACGAAATGAAAGTCTTATACTTTTGAAAATCGCATACCAGTCTCGCCAAATTGTAAGTGTTGTTGTAACCCTGCCCTGAACATGCATGGCGTACCATCATTCAGCAGGCCTAATTATTTTGTTTACATGCGAAAAAAAAAAATACGAGGAAAAAATACTCAAACCCGCGACAATAAAGAATTCCTAGTCCTATGGAACTCGTAAATCAGCTCGTCCAATTAGTAATTTTGTAAACCTCCGCGCTCGACGTCCGTTAGCTTGTTCTCGGGCCCCCGGAGGTGTAACGTAGCTATGATCCGCGTGTGTGTGTGTGTTTGTTTGTGTGTGTGTGTGTGTGTGTGTGTGTGTGTGTGTGTGTGTGTGTGTGTGTGTGTGTGTGTGTGTGTGTGTGTGTGTGTGTGTGTGTGTGTGTGATTTTGTGTGTGGGAGGTTGAGTTTGTGTTCATTGCACAAGCTCGTACACACACTGCAGTCATTAAAATGTTCTGCTTTGCGAAAGTACAGACTCAAGAGTATCACCAGGTATCAGGTTTCAAGACGACATAGGCTTACAACATATTGTGAAGGAGCGAGAAGCTAACGAAACGAGCGTATGCAAGTTAACAAACGTACAAACTGGACGAGGATTTAGTGTAGCAGTTCCATTATACCACTCTCTCCTCCTACACTACAGATCCTCTTCCTCCTCTTCCTCCCTGTCTCTGTCTGTCTGTCTGTCTGTCTGTCTCTGTCTCTGTCTGTCTGTCTCTGTCTCTGTCTCTGTCTCTGTCTCTGTCTCTGTCTGTCTGTC